TTTTTATAAAACACGTGTGGGTGTAACCACTAGTTAATATATATATATATATATATATATATATATAAAAAATATTCCTAATGTGTGAACTAGGAGACTTCACAGTTAGCTTAATCAAAGGAGAAATTACTCATAGTTCTCTGCTTATCTCTCCTTCAATCAAAAGAGAATCTTTTTCATAGGCCAGTCTAATGCTCAATTATTTCAGTTGAAAAAAACCAGTCGCAAGTACTTTGCCCTCATCTAAGGGATATTTTTAGATATGAACATTTATTAAAACAATCAGCCTCATCCCCTCAACAGAACTTACCTCCAGTTGTGCCAACTACCAAGGAATCACCAACTGGGCACATCACTCCTAAAAGTCCTGCTTGTAAAAGGAGAATCCCTGAAGTGAAACTGTCATGTGAAACAGCATTTGCCAGTGGTGTGGCATGAGTCCCAAAAGAATTGTTTTATAGTACAGGAGTACTCCCAATGGAGATGTAATTCAACAAAAAGGAATGCAATATTACACATGCACAGCTTAACTCGAAGAATATTTAGTATTATTAGGAACTGCTGTAAAATGTATATTGAATAAATACATGTAGCAAAATATAATAGAAGCCCTGGAGAAGTGGGGAAACCATGGAGAATACTCTCAGCTGGCTCCGTCACAGGCAGTAGACCTACACTGATTGGCAACAGCTGTGGATATTGTCTAAAACGTGTCTGCTGTCATCATTCCCTAGAGATATGCCAATCAGCTACCTCTCTTTCTGAGTGCAACATAATCCAGCCTAGAAATTATGCTTTCCAAGTTTGTGTGTTATTAATACTGATACATTAAGGTCCCTGCATATCTGGTCCCACAGAATTCCTAGTATTCTGTTCTTATATTCAGTGAATGAAACAGGTCACATAAACAAGTTACACAATTAAAACATTGTGGCAACAGGTAAATACATTCTAGGATTGTACAAAATGTTTATGAAATTAAAGACTACACCAATTAGATTATACCAGCAAAGAATTGACTATTAACTTACTCGGAAAACTTTCTCCACTCTTGCAATACTCTTCCCAAAGATGGTGCCCAGCTGATCTCCAATTCCAGCCAGCAAAAAGCCAAATAGTGGAATTCCAAAGATAGCATACAAAATGCAGAAAATTTTGCCTCCTTCAGTGCTTGGGGCAATGTTCCCGTACCCTGGAGAGAAAAATAATCATCAGAACTTCCTAATTCAGAGACGGCCTTTGGGGAAGCTAACTCATGGTTCCCATGAAGATGCCCATGCCATGGTGGAGCCCCTATTCTTCATTAGACAGCATATGCTGTGTAAACCTGTAGTGCACTGGGAGTCCAGGCCTACAATCCCACAGACAGGATCTAGCTCTGATTTTTAAATAGTATCCACTGTAGTTCAGAATGACTCATTTGTAATTCTGTTACCAACCTCTCTCTAAAGCACTGTTTCTCAACCTGTGGGTCATGACCCAAAAATGGGTCTTAAGAGTATATGAAAGGGTCACAAACAAACTTTAAAAGTGAATCCTCCTTTAAAGGAGAGAACTATGGGAAACTGTGGCTTTTCCCTTGCAGACTGGCAGGGTTCCAGCCCCCTCCACCTCCCACTGCCCCATACACCCACTCCCTGCCCCACGTACTGGGGGGCTGGGCCTGGGTCAGGACTGGCCATTAATGCTTACAAATGGGCCCTGGTACAAAAAAGGTTGAGAACCACTGCTCTGGAGGAGCAGCTTCCTAACCAAAGTTGCTATCGTTCAGCATGGTGGCTACTTAGTCTGCCACAGGAAATCCTTGGACTAGAGCCAGAGCCTGTACCCAGGCTCTTCCCATTGCTCCCTTATGGGAAAATGACTCATATTAGCATACCAATTCTCAGTTTCCAGCTCTGAATTACATGGCCTTTTTATCACAACGGCTGTATGAACTGCAACTTCCATCCCTTGGAGCCACGAGTCTTCAAATCAAAGTCTACTCTCTCTTTTATTCATTCAAGAGCTAGGAGCAGTGAGCACTGAGCTCCAGGCTGCTGAATGGACAGAGCTGAAGGGGAGTAGGCAGGAACGAGTCCCCCTTGCCTCACGGGTCCCTCCCCACCCAGCTACTCCAACTGGGGTATTGGAGGGAGTTGGGTGGGGCTATGAGGCGAGACAGCTCAGCTCCCACCCACCCCGGCCCCTGCAGCTCTGCCTGTTTTCAGCAGCCCAAAGCTCCATGCTGGCTACTCCCAGTTGCTGAATGGCCAGAGCTGAGGGGGAGGCCCCCCACCTCAGGGGGCCTGACCCAGCTCCCCACAATACCCCAGCCAGGATAGCTCGGTGGAGGCCCTGTTCCTTGCCTCCTCCCCACAGCTCTGGCTATTCAACAGCCAAGAACTCCCTCTCCTTTCCAGACAGTCCAGGGGGTAGGGTGGAGCTGGGCACCAACCCAGCCCTATCCCCATCACAAAAAATTAACTCTGGAGGGAACACAAGTTCCCAAAAGTGATCTAGTTTTGAGCACCTTAATATAATACCCGATTTAACCAGAGTTAATTTTTCACATGACCGGCCATTTTAAAAGTGCTCTGCAACCATGCACATGTGTTATGACATGGTTGTAGAGTGCTTTCAGGGGCCAGATTGCTCAAAAAAATATTTTTGTCTGCACCAATACTTCCTTTCTTCCCATTCCTCTGTGGCTATACATCTAGGAGCCAATATAGATCTCCATAGCTTTACTATCCATTGTGCCTCTATTCAGGAAGCATGTTTACTATCACAGATAAGGAACAAGTAATTAATACTATGACTGTTAAGATTTCTTTAGGATTTCCATGAAAAACCCTTTAACTTTGTGATTTGGCGACAACCATTTATTCTCCCACTAACAAACTATTACACATCCCAAAATCATATGAAGTACAAATTATTTAAAACTGCAAAGGAAAAATAATAATAGAATCTACATTGTAATTGAGTCACCAAGGCCCCGATTAGTGAAACCCGCTGGTCCTGATTCAGGTAAACATCCATATTCAGGAAAGGCATATAAACATGAAATTGAAGTTAAACATGGGTTTAAGTCAACGAAACTTTAGCATGTGTTCAACTGCTTGCCTATATCATGGCCAAGGACTGTAATATGCCATCTATGAAGTTCCAGAAAATTTTCTCTACAAAATGAATTCATGTGAGTTACAAAAGGCAGTGTTGAGCATTGGCTCTGAAACATTAAAACACTTGAGGGTGTTTGGTGATCTGGGGATAATATGAATTTGTGTCATGAACTGGATCAGTGGAATGTTATTTGATAGTAATCTATAGCCCATACCTGCCAGAGGAGAAACTTCAGTCATTCATTAAACCTTAATGATTGTCTATTCAGGGGGAAGCATCTTGGCACAGAGAGCTGACCAAAGCCTAGGAGAATCCGTTTTTTTCCAACATCTCTGCAAGGTGCCAGGGTTTGAAGAGTGGAAATTCCCAAATGTAAAATAAGGAAAGAAGATGTTGATGCTGTCCTTTGAAAATAAAGGTGAGTCAGAGACTCACAGAGGCACACAGGCAGAGAGGAACATGCTTTCATGAGGACAGGGGTAGTCCTTTTTAACTGATGGACTAGCCAGTTCAGACTTGAAATGGAAAGAGGATCTATGATTTGTATATAACAGTTTCTGTAGGAAAATCCTGGAACCCCTGCTGGAACCCTAACCTAAGTACAAGAATGCTCCAGTGTGGTAAAGGAGCGGAAGCAGATAAATGTGTTTAGGGTGTATTATTTTGTCTAGATCTCTGTATTTCTCATGTTCCATTGAAAAGAGTAACTTTATGTAGAGAGCTATACAATGTTTAGCTCTGCATGGAGTTTAACACTTATTCTGTGCCTGTGACAACTTAATGTGGTTGCAGCTCTACAATTGAGTGTGCTTAAGCTACTGAGTTATCATGGGGTAAGCACTGGTTATGGAGACCTACTGTGGCTGGACTCTGAGGCCACACTACCATGTCATGGCAACAGAGAGCCTGTGCCTAGGTGTGAGTAGAGAAACCAAGGGAAGAAACAATCCTGTAACCCACATAGTTCAATAGAAATGTTACAGCACACATATTCAGTGTTTTATAACCCTAGTATAGCAGGTAGGTACGTATCCAGGTAGGAGGAGCTCTACCAGGGTTACAAAAGGGTATATAAAACAGGGTTAATAAAAATATTTCATTCTAAACCAGGGGTGAGCAAAATACTGCCCAAAGGTCTTTGTTCAGCCCACAGAAGGTCCCTCAGCCCCACCTTGCCCAGGCACCATCCAGCCCTGGTGCATCCTGCCACTGGGAACACAGCAGGGTTGAGGTGGCTCTGCAGCTGAACTGTTGTTCTAGGCAGCCCAGGTGGCAGTGGCTCCTTCCAGCTGATGCTACCACTGGCTCCAGCCCCATGATACTGGTGGGGACCTTCACTGCACAGCCCCAACCCGGCGCACCCCATGCCTACTCTGGGTTCACCCATCCAGGCTCAGCAGTTTCAGTGTGGGACAGAAGCTACTTCACAGAGCAGGGGAGAAGCAGCCCCTCCCACCGCTGGCTGTTCCTGCTACAGCTGCCTTGGCCCTGCATGGGGCTGCCCTGAATCTCCTCTGTGCTGCCACTGCTGCCGCACTGGGCAGCCCAGAGGCAGCAGTGATGGTGCTGCAGAACCAGCCCTGCCCTGCTGCGTGCCAAGGGGAAGCAGGACACACCATGGGCAGGTGATGCAGAGCAAGCGTGGGGTGGGCTGGGGCAGGGCTGTGCCCAGGTTCTGGCTGATCTGCTCTGAGGGGGGTGAGTCCGGAGCAGTAGTGGGGCACATTGGGGCTGCACACTGTTCACGGTGGCGGGGAGGTGCAGCAGGGTGCATGGACACCAAGCTGTTGGAGGGCGGGAGCGGGTGCTGACTGGCTCACGGGAAGAATGTGCAGCGGGGGCGCTCACTTGCACACCTCACCATACCCACAAACCCTCTCCCACAAACCCCATAAGCACACCCTCCCCCACACACAATCACACACATCACAAACACTGCACCCATCCACTCCCTTTCCCCCACAAACCCCACACCCCTCCAGACACACACACCTGCATGCCTCTGGGGGGCGCCCTGCTCACTACTACAGGCACGCACATCACCACACCCATGCACCCACCCCCAACACACACCCCACACCCAGCAACCCCACACACCTCCAGTCACCTTTCCCCCACACACCCCACAGCTCCCCACACACCCCATAGTCACTCACACACACCCCTCCAAGCCCCCATACCTACCCACACACATCCACACACACCCACACCCACAGCTGCTCACAAAACCTATATCCCCCACCCCTTTCATACCCCCCACCCCACAATATACAAAAGTAAGACTTCATTTTGAGCTATTATGCAATCACCTCTATATACACAAAGCAAACACAGACAAATCAGGACATAAATATATTTTTAAATAAAATTAAAATATGTTATTGTAGATGTTTGATTTTGAGTACAGACAGGCAATCCCATTTAGCACTCTTAATCTGTTCCCCAAAAAAACCAAATGTTAAGCAGAACAGAGTTAAGCAAAAACAATTTTCCCATAAGAATTAATGTAAATAAATATAATTAATTACCAGGGCACCCAGCAACAGCAGTCCCCTCCATGCCGGGTGGCAGGTGGGGAGGGCAGTCATGGCCACAGTCACGATCACTCTGGGCAGCAGGAGTGGGGCACAGCATCCACGGCTCCTCCAATGCAAGTCATAGCACAAATCATAACCCAGCCGCGCCTGGCTGGGGCATTGGGTGCCAGACGAGCAGCTATGTAGTGCAGACAGGCTAAATTGCACAAGGCTGCACGCTGCCAATAACCGTTACCATGATAATGAAACTCACTGAGCGTTATAGCAAAATAGCACTAAGTGAAACCGTGTTAAGCAGGGTTTGCCTGTAATTTGGGGGTTTTTTTCAGTTCCAAGATGACAAACCCCCTTCCCAAAAGGAGTACTTCTGGGGGCAAGTGGAGTACTTATGGTGGCAAAGGTCAGTGGTTAAGCGGGGGGGCAGGACTTTTGGTCCCAGAGGGGGCACCTGTTAAGGGGCAGGACTAGACTTGCAGCCCTCGACAACTCACCAAAACTCATTAAGAAGCCGTCCACCTGAAATAATTGCCCGCCCTGGGCTAAACCA